TACTATGTACTATATACTATGTACTATACTATACTATACTAATGTAATGGAGTATAATGTTTGTATTATAACATAATATAATATTCTTTAATAAAATATAATAAGGACTCAAGCGGGAGGCCGGGCTTCTGGAGCCCGCGAAGCAGGGAGTCGCCGACGTCGCCAGCACTCTGAACATCACGGTCACCGACATCGCAGGCGCTTTGGGTCGGAAAATCCCGGCCTCTACCCATAGGCTCCTAGGTAGTTCCTTTTTGGGATTACCTTCTAGGTTTCTAAATATTAAACCATAAAAAGGAACTACTTAGGGGCCTATGGGTAGTTTTGAAGTACTGTTGCCATCTTCTGCCCAAGACCCCGTTGTCCGAGGCCTCTCCAACTCCTCCTCTTCAGGCGGATGCGAGGAGAGTGAGATGAAATTCGCACAGCCTGCGATGATGGCGGACGCGTTTTCGATGCAGGACTTGGGTGGCTACGTGCTGCAGAACCAGACGCTGCGCACTGTCCTGCAAGTCGTCGGCTCCTTGGCCGAAGTACTTCCGAGCCGTGAGACCGCGAGGCGCCGAGGCACAGCACTCGAATCGAGGCTACACTTTACTCGGCTTCGCTGCAGTCTGGTTATTGCTGGTCGTGTGCCTGCGCGGCTTGCTTGCAAGCTTGGGATGGCAGGTTTTGTAGTGGACAGCCCTGTGTAGCGGAGATATGAGGTAAGCGAATCCAGCTGGCCATCGCCCTGTGCTTAGAGCGCTTGGCTCCAGATGGCTTAGATGGGTGGCGGCCGCGCGGCGCGACTCTCCCGTTCTGAGGCCGTCAATGAGGTGTCGGCGAAGTTCGTTGTGCATCACCCGCAGATGTCCCTCGCAAGGTATAACTGGCTTTTTGATGGGGTTTCGAGTGGCCACAGCAAATCTTAAATTATGGGGCTTCGAACGTCTCGAGTTGCTTTCTGTGGTGGGCCGCATGATTCCGGTTACAATGTGCGATGGTTCTTGTCAATTCCGGGCTGGTTTCAGAAACAAGGTTGCTGTTAGGTTGGTCGTGTTACGTCCTTCTGCCCAGGGCTAAGGGATTTTTGCTGTAGACACTGGTGACAAGGTTTACTTATCGTTCTTTTATGTATTTGGGTTTAGGGGGTTTGTGTTTAATCATGCAAGTATAGCTTGTTTCGTGCCTGAATCTGCCTCTGGGTGGTTACGACAAGGTCCCGAAGTTCAGATCGACACCAACTTTAGACAAAGAGTCCAATCCATGGGCGGCTTATGAAATCTTGTGAGGCCTGTTGCTTAGTTGCGCAGGGGGCAAGGCGAAGAAAGGCCTTGTACTCGTAGGCCCCAGACCGCCGCCATTGCCAGACTGATACAGAAACGATACGGCATCTGACGACGCGGTGCCGTGTGGCGTGGGGGGCTTGTGCACCTGTGCGGGATCCCTGCTGTTACACGTACCAAGTATACTTGATGAAATGGGTTTATAACGGGCCCTATCTAACTGTCGGCTCGTCGGGTCTTGCTGGTTTGGGCATACAAGGTGGATTGTTGTGTCTGCGGTTTTGGGCGGTTGAGTCGAACAACATTCAATTTGAACAAGTCTGCTTGGACCACATGAAAAAGCCGCTTGGCAACGTTTGATGTTACTCTTGCAACATGCATGTAAGCATCTTGCGCGGAGCTGACAGCATGATTCCGATTCGATTTGACTTTTACTTGCATGCCATTCGTGGCATTGTGATGGGGTGGCTTGGAAACTCGGACTCAGGATATGTGTTCCGCTCTGCCAGTTCTTGCTAGTTGTGGCCTGGCTTGCGGTGCGGCTCCAAGTCGTTCGCCAGCAGCAGCGTGCCATGCCTGCGCGCAGCTGCAAGACTCGTCATGCCTTACTATGCTCACAGTGCTCGGAGGTGTGGGTGATCTGCACCGCGCTGATCGTCGTCGGTGTCCCTGCAGACTACGTGCCCGACCAGGCGGAGTGAAACGGATTAGAGTGAATGGAACAACAAGGTAAAAAACAGTCAACTTGCTCCGTCATCTCCCAGCATAAGGCACTGCAGAACATCTGAATTTCAGCGCGATACCCAATTGCCCCGCGGGTCGCCATGTAGGAACGGGGTGTTTCGTTTGAGCAGGGAAATGCGGCAAATCCAAGGATCCAAGAGATCTGCTCGACAAACAACTGCTGAACTGTGCTGTACCCAGGAGATGACGCATGCTCATGCATGTTCCAGAACGCTGCCAAAAAAATATATGCATAGTGCCATGGCATGTATGCTGCGTCATTATGTTAATTCCTTCCGTCCTGCATTTCGTCCTATTTGCGTATGTTTTTCTGTGCCTATCTACGGTATCTGAGTCTGGCTCTCTGTCCGTCTCTCGGTCTGTTTCTCCCTCTCCGTGACTCCGTGTTTCTTTCTCTCTCTCTCTCTCTCTCTCTGTCTCTCCGTCTGTCTGTGTCCGTCTGTGTCCGTCTCTGTCCGTCTCTGTCTGTCTCTGTCTGTCTCTGTCTGTCTCTCACTGGTTTCAACCCTTTGAACGTTTAGACTGGTTCTTGGCGAGGTGGTGGTTTAAACCGGTTTGGCAGGAAGCTAGGGGTGTTCTTGCAATGGGGTTTTCGGCATGTAGGTTTTCAGCAACTCTCTCAGGTGGATTGAACTTTGAAAGGTTTACGGTTTAAACGGTGTAAATGCCCAAATCTCAAGTCTAAGCCATTTAGGCATTTCTGTGGACAGGAGCCGTGAATGTTTAAACATGCGCGCGCTTAAACAGCCAAGCTTTAAGATGTTTAAGGATTTGGCCCCGCCCAAACCTGCGCTGCGCCGCTGCAGAGGCCTATGCCACAGAACCGGAGGCTGCTGGAAATGCCACCACGCCGGGTGCCTGCACGAACATGGTGCCTCCAGGCGCTTTGGTCGCAGAGGGCTGGCAGAGATGTGAAGACGGCAGTCAACCCTCTGAACCCATGAAATCAAGCCTCCGGCGCCCACGTTAGCCATCCCACCCCTCGCGCCAGGCTTCGCATATGAGGATGTGGCAACGTGCGTTCCAGACAACGTGACCTCCGTCCCTCTCTGACCCTCGGCGGCCCTCTCTCTCCTTTCGATAGAGGGCCCCAAGCCAGCGAGCACGGCCCAAGGCTGGCGATGTGCAGCGCCCCGATACACGATGGGCTGGCAGTTTTGGTACGCCTGCCTGGCACGTGTTGGCTCTTGGAAGTGCGGGCAACCGGGCCGCGAACTGCTGACGGACTTTCACGGTTGAATGTGAAGATGTATATCGGCAGGCGTGAGGCATGGCATGGGTGGCATTCTTTCAAAGTCTTTAATTGGGTTCTTGTCGAATCCTGCCGTGCGGTCTTGTCCTCCTGGGGAAGTAGGAGGCCGATAGCGGGCAGCGTGTTGTTCGCAGTGTCGTTTCGCAACACCGAAACAGTTGACCCAATGCTCCTGACCCCCTCACAGGAGACGGCACAGCAATCAGCCGAGCTTCAGCGCTACAGCTTTCCTTCCCCGCTCAGTGGACTCGTTGCCAGGCCCTGTTTGCGCTGCTGTGGCACAAAGCCCTGCTCGACGCCGTCTGCCAGTGCCCTCTGGCCAAAAAACCGCAGCCTCCTTCCCGAAAGAAGATGGCAGCGGTGAGCCTTTGAGCACTTCAGCTCGGTCCCCGCCCAAGGCCTCATCGCGGGGGCCGCCGGGGCCTGGTTCTTTGCCAGGCACGAGGAGAAGGCGCGGCCTGGCCTCGGCCCCCCCCCAAAAAAAAATGGGTGTTGGGTATTTGGGATGATTCGGGTGATGCCTCCTCGTTTTCTTTTTTTTTTTTTTTTTT